TAAATTCCCTTCTTTGCATCTTCCTTGCTTCTGGTGATTTGTCACTAGTCTTTGACATCCCTTGGCTTGTGGGTACCTCACTTCAATCCTCTGTCTTCACATGCCCTTCTCTTTATGTGTCTTCATATTGTCTTCCCTCTGTTCCTGTCTGTGTGTCCAAATTTATCCTTATGAGGGTATCAGTCATATTGGGTTAGGGCCCACCCTGGCCCCATTTTAACGTGGTTACATCTGCAATAAGACCTTATTTCCAAATAAGGTCATATTCTGAGATGCTAGAGGTTAGGACTTCAACGTATCTTTTTGGGGGAACACAGTTCAAGCAATAACCTCCTAATGCAATCGTATCATTCTTTGGACTTAAGCTTTCCACATACAACTTGTTGTTCCTCTGGTGGAATATTACATTGATTAAATTGCCTCTAGTTCTTCAGCTATCAGATGCTTTTCTCTGGCAGGCTGATGTAATTAGGGAACTAATAACTGGATCAATAAGGAAAAGAGCATTTTCTTTCATATTTTCCATCTGTTCCAATGATTCATTTAGGGCTGTGTGTGTGTGTGTGTGTGTGTGTTGCCACTGAATATGTGGTTGTTATGAGATAAGAGACCATGACACATAGGGGAAGAAGGGAAGGGAGAATATCTGGATTGTTCTCTGCTAAAGGTTCAGGAATATCATCCTTGCGGGGGGCGGGGGGCATCAGGAGGCAGGATGTGGAGAACAGTCTCATATACGTAACTCTGTATAAACAAGAAATTTTTTTTAAGGTTTTATTTATTTATTTGAGCGAGAGTGAGTGAGAGAGCGAGGGGAGAGGGACAAGCAGACTTTGTGCTGAGCACAGAGCCTGACACAGGGCTTGATCCCACAACCCTGGGATCATGACCCAAGCCGAAATCAAGAGTCAGAGGATTAAAACCACCTGAGCCACCCAAGCACCCTAAACGAGAAATGTTTCTAAAGATGTTTATTGTTCGGAAAATCTATTTTAGTGTTGCATAAAGCACGTTGGGTTGAAGCCATGCAGGACTATTTAAACAGCATGTGAGCTAATATGTTGCTTGTCCTAGGAAGGATTCACCACTGTCCATGATGATCTCTGTGTAATACCATTTTGTGGAAAATCCCATATTGCTTTGTGTGATTCCAGGTCACTCATGGAAAAAATTGGAATTTTAATTTTTGGCCTTTTAAAAGGTAGTTTTAAAGGTAAATATAATGAATACATTATGACTAGAAATTATTATTATAAAAATAAAAATAGAATAAAACCGTGGCTTATATTACTATTGAAATATTATCCATTGTAAAGAAATCTGAAAATGATAGAAAGCTTTAAAAAATATGTGTTACCATAGTCCCACAATTCAGAAATAACCACTGCTAATATTTTGGCATATCTCCTTCTGATGTGTTTCAAGTTTTTGCAATACTTAAATAAAATTAGTGTCAATGTATGCATGTTTTGCAATATATTTTAAAATAAATAATATAAGCATTTTCATATCATTAAATGATCTTGTAACACTTACTATTGAATGGCTGCCTAAATTCTTTATTTCTCTTTGAGTGTTAGAGCTTTTTTAATTACTAAAGTAATGCACGGTCCTAATAATTTTAAAGACCCAGATAACCAAAAGAAAAAATACTGATGGCCTCCAGTCTTACCCTTGCAGAGATAACTAGTAATAATATTCTGACATATATTGCATGGCAGTGTAATTGTCTGAATTTCTGTCTTCCACCGTTCATGGCATTTTTAACCTTTGTAATTCCAGCCCTTAGTTCAATGCTTAAAGTATAGCGGTTTCTTGATACGCTTTTGGTCAATGAATGAAGGAAGGAAGAAATGGATGAACACATAGGTGAATGGAGAGGCTGCAAGGATCCAGCTTGCGGTAGAATAAAATTCATTCCAGACTCAGCAACTTATGTGGATGGAGAGACAAGGTAGCTAACCAAAAGCTCTTAATGAATAGGAGCCTGCTCTTTCTGTTCATCTGAATCAGCCTCTAGGCAGAGAATTCAATTTAATTTTTCTCCCATCAGTCAAGCGGAAGAGCTGAAGAAGCAAAACCAGAGACAAGGGAGGCAGGAGGTGGAACAGGCTTGGATGAGGAGATCAGCAGCTGATCTCTTGTTCTTTCTCTGTTAGGAAGAGCATGAGACGAGAGGAGTCATGCTTCTCCCAAGGGTGAGTCCTAGCAGGAGCTGTGGTGGAGGCATTCTGCTGCTACCAGATCCTCCATGATGGAAGGACTGATAATTTCTCTGGAGGATTGAGACTCCAGCTGTGTCAGTGTGACCCTCATGGTTCTTCCCTGGCTTGTCTCTAGAGTTCGCAGCAGAGAAAGACAAAATCATGCTGGGTTTTATTTGAAGGGATTTGGAGCTCTGCTTCTATGATTGGAATCTGGGCTGACAGAGACTCTGATATCTTTGGGTTATAGAAGGCTCCAACCGAAGTCTCTTCTGTGTTTAATTGGGAAACGTGTCTTAAGTCTGAGCATCTGTCTCTCAGACACCTGCCATGGGAAGGAGAGTGACCCATTTCTTAAAACTATGCATGGAAATCTCAGTCCTTGCAAAAAAATATAAGGGTATATTCTTTCCAATGCAATGGTCTGGTCCTTACCAACTCTCTCCTTCCTCCCAACACCCTCCCCAATATAAATATACATACAGATAAATATAGGATCAGCCACAAATAGTTGGGTGTATAGAAAGAGAGACAGATAAGAAAATGGGCAGACAGACAACCTCCACCTCCTTTTAGCCAGTGACAGTCATCACATCTCTGCTTCCTCTTAAAAGCTTCCCCATAAGCCAAGTTCAAGATCTTAACCATATTGACACCTTTGTTCTTATTGTTTTCTTCACCCTATAAAATCTCTACTCACCTTCTCTCCTGTCTATACCACCTATCTCCAAAGGCCTAGCTCAAGCTATGTTGCTCTAGGAAGGCTCATTGTTCCATTTCCATTCCTGTTAATCTTGCCCATTTCTCAACTTCTAGAGCTTTAACCTCTGGCCCATTTTCCCCTTTGGTGTGGTGTATGTATATTTGAGAGTCATCTGTTTATAAGTTGAGAGATGGGCTAAATGGGATAAAACTTCTTTAAGCCCCCCAAGGCTTACTTGAGATTACCAGAAGTTCATTCAAAAATTACTTTTGTATGAGTTGCAAGATTATGGACTCAGAACGTTACAGATGGCAGCATTACCTGGGTGTGGTATGCCAGACAGCACATCCCTATAGGGGAACAGTACTGGGGATGTGACAATGGGAAGATACTTCATCTGACCCCATTTCTATAAACTTAAGGCCCATCTACTTCTGCCCTTCCCAATTTCCCCACCTGTGAAATTGTGAAGAACATAAACATAATAGAATTCTCCTTATAAACTAGGCACCGTGATTCCATGGAAGAAGACGGGAGCCAGGCGTCAGAAAACTTAAATCCTAGTTCTTTTGACCAAAACTTAACTTCCCCAAGACTGAGTTCATTAACTATGAAACAGGAGGTTTGTGTGCTCACCTGTATATGTATTCTGTTACCACTGATACACAGAGGTGAATTGGGCATGACTCCTGCCTCTCTTATGACTCATAGCCTAATGGCAGGAGGGGCATGCCAACCAGTATTGCCTTGGTGTGAACAGCTTCTTAGAGGCAGACAGTAAAAATAGTGATGGTACCTGGGGTGAGTGGTTGACTCTCCCTGGCAGGTCAGAAAATGCTTGAGAGCAAGGATTCAATAGTCATAACTGCCTTGCCTTTCAGTGTCCTTGTAAGGCTCAAATGTATGTGAAAGAGCAGTGTAGTCCACCTATTTTTATTATTATTTCCATTATTTCCATTATCAGTCAGAGCTATTATACTTCCAGGCATACAATTGAAAATAAACTCCATACTCTTGGCTAGTCTGTGATAGGAATGTTGGCCTTTCTCTTATGTGTTAAAAAGGAGTCAGACTCTACATCCATAAAGTAAGTGAATGTGGAATCTGACTTTATTAGCCATGCTGGGGTTCTTCTTTATTTTTCCAAAGTCTTGAGGCTCTTCTAGAATTTTTTTCTCATTCCATGAGTTACTATCCATTCTTACATGCCCATTTTAATTATTGATTTATTCAACAGATATCTGGTGAACTCTATATATATTGAAGGAATATAAACACAACTAAATAATACAGATGAATCTGAAAGACATAACCACGTATTACCTCATGATAAGTGCTCAGTGGAAACCAAAGATGAGTGCAGTGAATTGAGAAGGGAGAAAGATGAGTGGCTTGGACTGATTGGAAAAGGTTGCATGGAGGGAGCCACCCATGCTTGTGTAACGCTTACTTAGGCGTAAGCATGGCCTTATCTCTGTGAAGACCTAGGACTAAAACAAGCGTGGTATCCTTATTGGCAGTGAAGAGTCCATTTCATTTAGATTATATATAGGAGCAGTGAGCGATAAAACTTGAATAGCGCAATATTTTATACATAATATTGGCTCAGATACCAGCTGATGAGTATTTTTACATGTGTTTTATTTCCCTGAGAACACAGAATCTACCTCTTCTTTATCTTCATGTCCACCAGAGTGCCTTACATGTAGGAGCTATTCAGTAAATAAATTTTAAATAAATTTTGCTGAATTGTTTTGAATGGAGCTAAAGATATCAAGGAATTTGAAGAAAAATAAGAATTTTATGAAAGGCTTTACCGCTGAAGGAGAGAATGATTGATGGCATCAGAAAGGATTTACACTCAGCTCAAAATCATTGGTCGATTGGATATATGTTTAGCACCTACATGGTGCAGAAGTCACCATGATAAGCATGGCATGGTCATATTCATAGCTTTTATCTAGATAAAATGGATGCCAACTGAGGTCGGCACTCTGGTGCACTAGAATGTCCTTATCCAGGGGGATGCCACGTGTATTTATGTTGACCTGTGCCCTTGATGCTTATGCTTTCCTCACTTCATTGTTTTGCAGCTCTACAGCTCCATGGACTTTGGAAGACGGTGGCAACTCATGCATGAACGCATCACACCCAACAGGTTTTACTGGTAAGCCCCATCCGCAGACCCACTACCCTCTTGGATACAGAATTATCAGAGAGTGTAGCACTCAGGATAATACTGGAGACACCTTCAGCACTTGAAGACACGTGTGTTCTAGCCCTTTGCTACTCGGTGTGGTTCACAGACCGGCAGCATCAGCATCACCTGGGAACTTGTTAGAAATGCAGAGTCTCAGGCAAGACTTCCTGAGTAGGAGTCTGCACGTAACACAGTCCCTAGTGATTCAGGTGTACGTTAAAGTTTGAGAAGCACTGGGCTAGGGTGCTCCATGAGAAGGTCATGACCAGGTGCTCTTAGCTGGGTGCTAATCTCCCTTTGTTTGGGAGAAGTATATATTTTGTGTACCTATTCTAAAAGCAGTATTTCCTAAAGTGTACTCTGAAGAAAACTAGTTCCACAAAATGCTTCTCCTTTCTTAAGTATTTCTATGGTCAAGCAATTTTAAGTAATGATTATTTAACTCTGCCTTAGTGAAGATGCAGGGTTCATGTTAGGATAATTAAGACTCTGGAGAAACCCAGAGACTGAAGAGGCCTCCTCAACTTATTTCACTAAAGAATCCTTTTCCCATGTCACACATGATAGATCCTTCAGAACAGCTTCTGTGGAGCACATTCTGAAAAGCCTTTTTTAAGAGTGAGTATATGTTCCAAGTGGAAAATTAGCCCTCCCCCATCAGAAAGTGTTTTTATTAATTGGTGTTCCTTTATACGTGCGTGCTATTTTTACCTTGGTTGTAGCAAGCTAAACGTCGTTTGGTATAATTTTATATTTTATTCTTCCCTGCTGCAATGTGAAAAGTCTTCTTACTTGTATCTTGCTTTCATTTCAGCAGAGGTATAGCCAAAGGAATAGAGATTAAGAAGCATGCACCCAAGTGTTTAATATGCTTAATTAAAACAAAACCAAAATTAATCTTTGAAAGTAGTCCCTATTTTCTATCTCTTTTTAAGCACCTTAGTTCAGTGCCCTTAAAAAGTCACAAGATGGCCATTTTTGTCTTATATAAGGTGGAGGTGGTGTGTGTGTGTGTGTGTAGTGTGGATGGTGATGAGTACTTTGTACATATATATATAGTCACATCAACATCTTTGAAAGCAATGACTCCACCCAGTCCCCTGTGTACATACAAAATTATGACCAAAATTCAGAAAGATAACTGCAGAAACATCCCGTGAGTACACAGTGTGTACCAACCTACTGATTGCACACAGTGAGTGGGGGGGTAGTGCTCTTGACTCAACACCTGGACTATCCCCACTTATTTTGCCCTTTTCAGACCAACTATTATTTGGTCTGTCCTGTTATTACACTTATTATTGGGTCTGTATTTAGAACTATTAAGATTTTTTAATAGACTAAGGCCGAAAAAGGAAGTATTTGTTTCTCTGATATTCCAGCTATGTGACTAGAGCCTTTTGCTCAGCCAAAAGGGACCAGTTTCTTGGCGTGCCATCACTCACAGGTCCTTCAGAAAGAAAAAAAAAAGGCCCTCTGCTATTTCTGGAACAAACTCTTGAGATGGTGAGGCTGTTGGCTGACTAGGAAGTCAAGTTGATGGAAAAGGAAAGTATAATAGACTGGATAAGCCTTGTCATCGTTTCTGAGGGAAATTAAAGTAAGTGGACGAGGGGCAGCATTTTCCTATGTTTTGCAAAGAGCAAGAAGAGAAGGTTCCAGCTGCAGTCTGCCCTCCCCTTTCCTTTGTGTAGTGGAAAGAACAAATCCCCAGGTCCTGATAATTGTGTTTCATCTCTCCTGCACTCTGTGATTCTTTCATATATGCCCCCATGGGGAAATATAAAAGTTAGTGCCCGTGCTGGCTAGCCAAGTGGTAGCTGGCAATTCCATCTTCGTAATTATCACTTCTTCGTTTCTGATGTATAATTGCCGTGATTATTCTTCTAGGTGTCATAGGAGTTGCAGTGGAAGAGCTCACTTTATACAGACATTTTTTCCCCCCAGTGACAAAATCCATGTCTGTCTAAAGCTCTAAACCATTTGTGTTGAAGAGACATGACTGTATGGGTTGGGAATAGAAACATTCGCTCAGAACCTCCTTGAAAAAAGACAAAGTGTGCATCTGTCTGGTGTAGAGCCCTGCTCTGGCTGACACGAAGATTCTTCAAGCTGTGGTTCCCTCATCTGTATAATGGGAACAAGATTCTTCTTGTCAATTTCATAAGGTTCTATAAAGGACCAGATATGATCAGTTGGACATTTGTCACTTTCATCTCTTCAATTTCATATCAGATTAATCATTTGTATGTTGTAAGTCATTAAGAATTATGCTTATTGGCATTTCCAAAGACCATGACACCTAAGTGATTCATCATTTTTCTGGGACACAAATTTGTATCCCATGCATGATGAGATTTGTATACCTGTGGACATCTGCTAACAATTGATTGGATCTGATTTACTTGGAAAGGTGCACTTCTCATCCTAACCTCTACTGCCCTCTACTCTTTCGGTCATAATTCTTGTGCGGCAGTGGTACAGTCCAAACAAATCAACAACAGAAAGCCCTAAAACTACTTCTCTGGGAGAGATGGTGCAGTGAAGTGTTGGGGACAGTGAGGACACACTGGAGGGGGTGTAGGCACGCTAAAAACAAGACATTGAGATGAAGGATGATGTTAATACTTTTATCTTGAATGTAGACAGAGAGTGTATGTGCCATTCACGAGTAATATCGCCCAGATATTGTTATCTATAATTTGGAGATTTGTAGTCGTCTAGGGATAGATCCTTCGTGAATGTAAAGTTTCTTCTTCATTCTGCCTTCAGTTGATGGAAAATAGCACCTGGAGGGGATTTGTGGGAAAAACACTGTGATCCAGAAGTGATCTTTGCCAAGGGTGCAGGGGGAAGAACCGACCAGACATGCCTCATATTTGCTGTAGTGGCCGTGAACGTGTATTGGGAATAGTCAGGGGCTGCCATTATTTTCCATTTCCTCCTTAGTGCCCTACAGTGCCTTTGAGTTAGGCAGGGCATGGGGCATAATATTTATTAGCAGCAGTTATAAAAGCTTCATCTGGAGGTAAAATTTTCTTTGTGAATTCCAGATGCTCTAACCCCATTAAGAGAGGTCACCTAGGAATCTTACATTATAGAGTGATTCAGCTATCCAGTGCATGCCCGAAGAATAGTACTGACTGACCTGAAAACTCCTTCTTTATATGTGACCCTTTCACTCATTTGATACCTGGTTAACAGGCAGATTACCAGGCCTGTCTTATGTTCCCATTTATCACTCCAGCTGCATTAGCAATTATAATTTGCAAGCAGAGCACAAAAGTGGAATGTATGTCTTAACATAATCCCTTTCTTGTCTGCTTGGGCAAAGCTGTCATGGGGAAAAAGTATGTGTTTTCTTTTGTTTTTGTTTTTGTTTTTGTTTTTAATATCCTACTGAGCTGCAAATGAATAGTATTTCCACTCTTCCATTGGGAAATATTTAAGAGACAGGTGCATTCTGCAGTGGGAAGATTGTTTTCTTTGCACATCCAATGTGAATACTTGTGGCTCATGGCTTTGCCTTTATGGCCCCTCACCCTCCCTAGGTGTTCCCTTCTTCTGGTATAACTTGGTTGGCCTCTACATGCCTCTGGTCTGATGAAATTTGCTTGTATAGCCTTGAGAAAGAGAGAAAGAATGCCTCCAATATCTCTTCCTATTAACTTCCCTTTCATTATTCTGTCTCCTGAAAGATCAGGGTCTTTTTTGTTCCTATTTCTTGCCATCACTGCAGGAGTGTGTTCTGATAAAGTAATACACCCTAAAGTATCAGGGACTTTAAACTCTTAATCCTTTTCTGGGATGTTTGGGTTGCAACAATGACTGGTCTTGAGAGTAAGAAACCCTATTAGAAGTCAGTAGATGTAGTACTGGTTTAATTTATTTTATTATTATTTTTATTTAAATTCAGTTAGCCAACATGTAGTACATCTTTAGTTTTTGATGTAGTGTTCATTGATTCATTAGCTGTGTGTAACACCCAGTGCTCATCACATCACGTGCCCTCCTTAATGCCCATCACCCAGTTACCCCAACCCCCCACCAACCTCCCCTTCTGCAACCCTCGGTTTGTTTCCTGGAGTCAAGAGTCTCTCATGATTTGTCTCCCTCTGTGATTTCTTCCCATTCCGTTCTTCCTCCCTTCCCCTATGATCCTCTGCACTATTTCTTATATGAGTGAAACCATATGATAATTGTCTTTCTCTGCTTAACTTACTTCACTTAGCATAATACCCTCCAGTTCCATCCACATCAGTGTAAATGGTAGGTATTCATCCTTTCTGATGGCTGAGTAATATCCCATTGTATATATGAACCACATCTCCTTTATCCATTCGTCTGTTGAAGGACATCACGGCTCCTTCCACAGTTTGGCTATTGTGGACATTGCTCCTATGAACCTTGCAGTGCAGGTACCCCTTCTTTTCACTACATCTGTATCTTTGGGGAAAATACCCAGTAGTGCAATTGCTGGGTCATAGGGTAGCTCTATTTTTAACTTCTTGAGGACCCTCATACTATTTTCTAGAGTGGCTGTACCAGCTTGCATTTCCATCAACAGTGTAAGAGGGTTCCCCTTTCTCCACATGTAGTACTGGTTTTAGATCAGCCCTCTTTAGAGGAGCAGGAAGAAGTTCCCCTGAGGACTGCTCTTTTGAGCTGTTATGATGCCTGGTTGTAGGCTGATTAGTGGCTAGCGTATAGGGACAGGCAGGGTGGGTTCCACGCCTCTATTGTACTTTGATTAAGGTCAGTGTACTCACTGTAGACTTCTAGTGATGATTTGTGCCGGCAGCTTCTCTCTTCTGATTTTCAGAAAGGCCATGAGGAGGAGGGTGGGGAAAATGGGAAAGTACAGAGGAGGTCCTAGGAAAATGCCTTTTAAAGGAGAAAGGGATGGCATGGAAAAAAACAACGGACTAAAAGTCTTCTCATTACAATCTTGCCTTTCAAAGCTTCTA